CATTGTTACTACATTACGTTACATTGTTACTACATTACGTTACATTGATATTACCAGAAATGACAAATAAAACTTAAATAAATACAATAATTTCTAGAAAAGTATCTCCTGTATTTCACAAGGGTTCAGATTGGATATATTAGCACTGTTATTTGGTAAAGTTTATCATCCCTGTTCTTGCTTTGTTCTGTGTTCCAAATTTGTTATTTTGCTGTTCTCAGTGGAGAAGAAAAAATACTTAAAGCAAGTCTCAGTTTTTCAAACCTGCTATGTCTAGTAATTGCTATTCTAAATGAAAACACACATCCATTACTCCCTTGAGTGACATTAGCAATTTGAGATTATTTTTCCTCTCACAATAGAGTGGTCAAACAGATGAGAGGAAAAAGAATTCAGATCTTTGACTGACAGCATCAATTCATCTCTGTTAAAGGAGTATAATGGTATGTTTTAGAAGAATAACACTTTATTTTTCTCAAGGAGATCATCTATATGATTGTGTCATTTGAAGTGTTCAGGCTTCCTGTACTGACATGAGAATTCATCAAATATAGTACCGAGGCCAAGTCTATTGCAGAAGCACTTGCAAGAAGTGAGTTAGAGATAGCACTGTACATTGATATGGATATGGAATCCTCCTATGGCTTTACTCATTGACCAGTTACATTTTCACGTCCATTGAATTTAAAATCCTCATCATTGTGTTTAAGATGTTACCTGGAAGTTTCCTGGTGCAGGGGTGTACAGCAATGTAATAGCTCCCACACTAACATTGCACCATGGATGTACTGAGAATATTTGAAATAACTTAACTCAGCAAACTTTCATGGAACAAGCTTGATTACAAAATAACCTTCTAGCAGAAGTACAGCACAAGTGGCACAGTTCTGTTAGGCTGGACTGCTTGTTTCTGGGCTTCAAATGCTATTAAAAATTGACTGTGGAAATTCAAGACCGATATCTCAAAGTCAAGCATCGCTTTGACTTTTTAAGTTTTTCACACCAACTATCTTTGTTAGCTCACTAGCTGAGATTACGCATTTATTGCTAAATTTATGTTTTTGCTCACAGTCATAAGAAACTGCACTGAGCTTGTTAAACAGGCAAGTGAAGCATTCATCTCCATAATATGTGGGAGGTTAAACTAAAATCCCAAAGAGAACCCATTGTACCACCCAGTCCTCAATTTAGCTTCATTTGATACTTATATATGACTTTACCTCTTTGTTTTAAAAAGATGAACTGCAAAGTGAATTAGGTAAATGTGAACTTATTCACATCACTTGTATTACTTTAAAACAATTTATTTTCCTTTGAACCAGGTGTTGGAGAATTACAACAAAGGAAAGACGGCTTTGCTAGGAGCAGCAAAGGTCATGGTCAGCCCAACAGAGGTGGATTTGAATCCTGACATGATTGTTCAGCAGCAGCCTCAAGCAACAAAGCATGGAGATCAAAGGAAGAATGCCAGTATAAAGTAAGAGAACAACCACAGTAAATGCAGAACAGAAAATCCAAAACTGGAATAGTGGTAAAATATGAATATAGCTCAAGTCTTGTTTTGAAGATAAAGATTAATAACTAATCTATGCCTTCACATCATGAGACAAAAAGTCAGTGGAAAAATATTATTTTTAAAATATAATTTTATCTTCATAAATTTGTCTCTCAAAAGCCTACTGTAAAACAGGATTGTTGGCTCAAAAACTATACGGTGACTTAAGTAAGTGGCATCTCTGAGAACCTAACTAAAATTTACAGGAAGGCAGGGATATACAATATGAGGTCCATTTTATCTATAGGATGTATTTAGAAAACTTCGACTTTTCCCTAATTGGATTTTGTTTTTGATTCCATTCTCACTTCTCCCAGGAAATTGCATGGCATATAGGAGGTATACATGCTCTTGATGCTCATCTGCATGAGACAAGCTGGATGGACCTTTTCTGACAGACATTTTTGCATACTCATAATCCATCACAACTTTCTGAATAAACTATGTATACTCTCCCAATTTGTTTAGATTGAGCTTGTTGGTTTTCACTATGTTTTATCATGAATGTTCAGCAGTTTAAAGATGTTACATTTTTGTTTGGGATTATGCTTTTGAATGGCTCTCCCCAGTCCATTTACGCTGATTCTTATCTTTTTTAAATATAGCTTGTGAAATTTGAATAACTGAACAATTGCTTTGACTTATTGTTTGCAGAACTGGAGCCACTCTGCCTATGGTCATGTGCAGTGTTAACGTTATATAGACCAGTGAGTTGCACTTTCTATCTCACATCAGGTCTGTCACCAAGATGACATTCGTCTACTTCAGGGATGAAGCCTATCTGCTTCACCCCATCCTCTACTCCATTGGAGCTATTTTTAATTCGGGCAAATGTCTCCGGTTCTCTGAATTCTGTCTAATTCACTCCACTTTACTGTCGATCTTCCTGCTTTCAAAAGCCCCTAAAATCTATGTTATTGATCTCTATCCATTCTGACCTTAAGTTCTTTATTGTTCTTATCCATCCAATCTTGTAAAGCCTCTTAGAAATTATTCCGCGAGCAGTACCATGTAAATCTAATATTTGTTTCAATTAATATTTATAACTTGAATATTGATCATATTCCATTAGCTACAAGAGAGGGATCCACAGTGCGATACTGCTTATGGTATGCAACAGGATAGAATGGAGAAAAACAACATACCTCCAATAATTAAATACAAAATACGTTTTCTCTACCATTTAAGAATGCTGCTTTGGATTAATGTGACATTTTTATTTTTATTCAAGCCTTCTTGAAAATAGTAACTGTTTATTCCAGGTCAATGCTGAATTAGAGGATGTCTTCTGCTGAAGTTTTGGTCTTGAAGCATCGCATTTAGACTGTTTTTATTCATTCAGGGAATGTGGATAATGCTGGCTGGGCCTATATGTATTGCCCATCCATAGTTGCCATGGAGAAGGTGGTGGTGAGTTCTCTTCTTGAACTGCTGCAGTCCATTTGGTGTAAGTATACCTACAGTACTGTTAGGCAGGTAGTCCAGGATTTTAACTCAATGGTATTGAGGGAATAGCAACATATTACCAAGTCCGGATTGTGAATAGCTTGAACTGAAATTGGCAGGTGCTTTTTCCATGCACCTTTTGACTGTGTCATTCTAGATGGCAATGGTTGTGCGTTTGGAAGGTGCCGTCTATGGAGCTTTGGTGAAATGCATCTTATAGGTGGTACGCACTGCTGCTACAGTGCATCAGTGGGGAAAAGAGTGATGTTTGCACCAATCAAGTGGGCTGATTTTTCCTGGATGTTGTCAAGCTTCTTGGGTGTTGTTGGAGCTGCAGTCATCCAGGCAAATGAGTCATATTCCATCTCACTCCTGACTTAAGCTTTGTCGATAGTGAACAGACTTTGGGGAGTCAGGAGATGAGTTACTCGCTGCAGTACTCCTGTCCTCTGTCCTGGTCTTGTAGTCAAGGTATTTATATGACTAGTCCAGTTCAGTTTCTGCTCATTGGTAATCCCAGGATAGTGGTGACATTGATACTGGGACATTCGGTAATTCAGAGGTGTCTTGATGCTGAGTTGACTGACCTCCAATAATGCAAGTATTTTCCTTTTTTACCAGATATGACTCCAACCTGCAGACATTTTTCTCCCCATTGCCTCTGGCTGTAATTTTACTAGGGTTCCTGATGACACACTGAGTCAAATACAATGTTTATATTAAATGCGGTCAGTCTGACCACCCCTCTGGAGTTCATCACTTCTGTCCATTTTTGAAATGAAGCAGTAATGAGGTCAGGAGCTGAGTGGTCCTGGAGAAAACCAAGCTGGCATTAGTGAACAGGCCATTTCTAAAGAAACGCTGCCTGATACCACTGTTGATGACCCCTTCCATCACTTTACTGTTGATTAGCGTATTGGTCCTGTAATTCACTGGGTTAGATTTTCTCATACACTAATAGACGTTTACAGCACAGAGTGAGGTTATTTGGACCATTGTGTTTCACGTTGTTCAGCAAAGATCTGAGTACACCAGTCCCATTTTCCAGCTGTTTGCCTGTATCACGGGAAGCTATAGCAACACATGAATATCTAAATATTGCTTAAATATTTCAAGAATTTCTGTCTCAACAACCCTTCAGGCAGCAAGGTCCTGACTTCCATCACCCTCTCTGTGAAAACTTTATCCTCAATAGTCCTCTTAGCATTCTACCTCTTATATTAAATCTATGCCCCCAGTTATTGTCGCCTCTACTCAGCGAATATGTACCTTCATATTCATCCTATCCTATGCCCTTCATAATCTTACACACCTCTATCAGGTCTCAACATTTGCTGCTATATGGAAAACAGCCCCAGCTTATCCAATCTTTCCTTGTAGCTCTGATCTTCCACCTGAGGCTGAAATCTCCTCCATACCTTCTCTAGTCCGATCACATCTTTCCAACAATGTGATTGCACACACAACTCGAGTTGTTGCCTGATCAGCATTTTGTACATTTCAACGTAACCTCCTGCCCTTATGAATTCAAATATTCCATATGTCATCTTGACCACCTTGTCTAGCTGCCTTGCTACATTCAGGGATCAGTGAAATGCACGCTAAGATCTGATTTTCAGGGTTCTGCCATTATGGTATATATTCTGCTCCTCAAAATTAATTCTGATAATTTCCTGTGGCCAGTGAGTATCCGAAATTATACTGCCAGCATCCCTGTTATCTCCTCCTTTGCCTCCCTCAACAGCTTGGGATGCAACACATCCTGGCCTGTGGATTTGTCTATTTTAAAGGCTGTCAGAACTTGCTGTCTCTTTATGTTAATTTCTAATGTTGCACAGTCTTCCACCCTGATGTCTATGCCCACGTTTCCATTTTCCATTGCGAAGACTAACACAAAACATTCATTGAGAGTGTGCCGACGTATTCCGGGTCTGCACACAGATCATCTTTAAGAGTCCCACTCTTGCTCTAGTTATTCTCTTGCTATTTATATATTTACAGAAAAAGCCCTTTGGGTTTACCTTTATTCCAGCTGCCAATGCTTTCTCATTCACTCTCTTGGCTTTCCTAATTTCCTTTCTAAGTACCCCATGCATTTTCTGTACTCCTTTATGCACTGTGCCATATTGAACCCGCAGTATCTGCCATAAAATTTTTTTTAAAACATAAAGTTTATGCCTGTTGACATCCAGAATTCTCTGGTCTTGGTCCCACCCTTTGTCTTTATGGGAATATATTTCTCCCTTTACTCTTCGCTATTTCCTCCTTGAGTGTCTCCCAATGCTCTGACAAAGTTTTATCTGCAAGTAGCTGCTCCCAGTCCATATGGGCCGAATTGTGTCTTTTCTTAGTAAAATTAGCCTTTCCTCATTTTAGAAGTTTTATTCCCAGTCCATCTGATTCCTTTTTTATAACTATGCCAAATCTGACTGAATTATAATCCCTGTCTGCAAAATGCTTCCCAACTGATGTGTTTTCCACCTGTGCAGGCTCATTTTCAGAAGTATTCCCATAATACAGGTGAAAAAAAGTCCTCCAAAATGTAATTTTGCTCCCTCCCTATCTTGCACACACTAAAACTACCTCAGTTAATATTTAGGTCGTTAAAATCTCCTACTATTACTGCCTTATTATTCTTATACTTCTCTGAAATTAAATAAAATATTTGATCCTCTGTCTCTCCCTGATTGTTTGGGAACCTGTATTATACAACCAATAGCACATACTATATGGAAAGAACTTAGCCTATTAGAATTTGCAGACCTTCAGTACATGAATCTTGAACACAAGGTGGAAAGTGTTTTTCTGTATTCTTTAGCAATGCTATGGCAAATTCCAGCCACCTCACTAATAATTTTAAAGTAAGTCACACAAGCATTTGATTTTGTGTACCCTCATGACTCAGCAAAACAGGTGGCATTTTAAAACTTTGAAGCAATCTGAGGTCATAAAACAAGTGCAAATTTACTCTTTGACAAATATAACAAATGATGTTGTTAGCATCTTTGGTTTAATTAGAGATAGTAGGAACTGCCGATGCTGGAGAATCTGAGATAACAAGGTGTAGAGCTGGATGAACACAGCAGGCCGAGCAGGAAAGTTGACATTTTGGGTCTGGACCCTTCTTCAGAAACGATTTCTGAAGAAGGTTCCAGACCCAAAACGTCAACTTTCCTGCTCCTCTGATGCTGCTTGGCCTGCTGTGTTCATCCAGTTCGACACCTTGTTATCTCTCTGGTTTAATTAGTATTTGTAAAGCAAATGTACAACTGTAAAAGAGAAGTTTGAATTTTTGTGGCATGCAGTAATGTTATTCTGAAGCAACTAAATTTAATCAGCAGAAGGAAAAAGCAGTGACTTGATTGATTTGCTCATTGGAATCCTGTACTGCCTCATGGATTATTATGAATACAGAAACTTGCACAACCAAATGTTCCATGACAGACTACTTGTAAGTCTTCAAAATTCTTATTGCA